ATTTCCGACCCGGACAATTTTAGGGGTCTACAGTGTAGAAAAAAAAAGCTCTATCAAACCCACACAGCTTTGCTCTGTGGCCCCAGCTAGATCTTCAAAAAAAGGTCGTTTACTATTTCTTTCTTATTTTTGAAGTTTTATTTCACTATTTTTCCAACTTTTTTTAATTTTTTTAAAATACTTAGGTTTTGAATTTTGTTCTCAACTTTTTTGTGGTAGTGTATTTTGTTTTAAGGATGATGTTGGTGCATTAGTTTTAATGGTTTCCAAATTTGCATGAAAATTCTAATGATTTTTGTGGTTATTTTTACTGTTCACGGTTACTATTCATGCATGTGTTTCAGGTAGTGCATGACCAGGAGCAACCCTGATTTTTTACATCCATTTGATCCTGAGATTGATAGGACATTCCATAGATTAATTAGAGAGCATATCATTCCATCTTTAGATAGTTTTAGTCATAGCCATAGTGATAGTGTTAGTGATAGTCTTAGTGTAAGTGTTACATCTGAACTTGATTCAAGTCAACCACAAAACATGGGTGACCAACCTGGACCTCGAGAGAGAACACTTAGGGAGATGGCTGCACCTGATTTCACATATGAGAGTCTATGCATTCAATATCCTAAGGAAGATATTCCTTTTGTGCTTAAAACTGGACTGATCCATTTGTTGCCTAAGTTTCATGGTCGTGCAGGTGAGGATCCACACAAGCATCTCAAGGAGTTCCACATAGTTTGTTCCACCATGAGGCCACATAATGTCCCTGAAGATCACATCTACCTGAAAGCATTCCCTTTTTCATTGGAGGATCTTGCCGAGGACTGGTTGTACTATCTGACTCCTGGTTCAATAACAAGCTGGGATGACTTAAAGAGAGTGTTCCTCGAAAAAATTTTCCCTGCATCCAGGACCACTTCAATCCGGAAGGACATATCTGGGATTAGGCAACTCACGGGGGAGAGCTTATACGAGTACTGGGAGAGATTCAAGAGGCTGTGTGCTAGCTGCCCTCACCATCAAATTTCTGAGCAGCTATTATTGCAGTACTTCTATGAGGGGTTGAACATAATGGATAGAAGCATGATTGATGCAGCTAGTGGAGGAGCTTTAGGAGATATGACACCTGCTTCTGCTAGAGGGCTGATTGAAAAAATGGCGTCCAACTCACAACAATTCAATATGAGGAGTGATGCCATAGTTGTGAGGGGTGTGCATGATGTGGTAGCCTCAGATTCCACTGAACACAAAAAGCTGGAGAGTAAGATTGATGCTCTCACCACCTTGGTTTCACAACTGGCTGCAAATCAAAAATCAGCTCCACCACCAGCAAAAGTATGTGGCATCTGCACTTCAATTAATCATCCAACAGATGCTTGTCCCTCCTTGCAAGACTCTTCTACAGGTCCTGATGCCCCACAAGCATATGCTGCCAACATTTACAACAACAGACCTCCACACCAGCAACAACATAATTATGATCTGTCTTCCAATAAATACAATCCTGGTTGGAGGAATCATCCTAACTTGAGGTGGGGAAACCCTCAACAGCAGCAAAATCCACCACCTTTCCAGAATAATCCCTCAAGTTCTACATATCAGCCTCCTCAACAGAGACCTCCTCCTGCACCTGCAGCCCAACCAGCTCCTCAACCTTCTACTTCTGAACCTTCATTGGAGGAGTTAGTGAGGCAGATGACTCTTCAAAACATGCAGTTCCAACAAGAGACCAGGGCTTCCATACAGAGTTTGACAAATCAGATGGGTCAGATGGCAACTCAGCTCAATCAGGCACAGTCCCAAAATTCAGACAAGCTACCTTCACAGACTGTGCAGAATCCGAAAAATGTGAGTGCCATCACCTTGAGGTCTGGCAAACAAATTGACATACCAGCACCACCTACAGCTGTTGTACCCCCACCTGAGCCTACAGTTGAGAAAGAGGGCCATACAAGTAGTAGCAAAAATTTTCATGCAGGTGGACCTTCTTCCAGTGCACACAGTGATGATCTACATCAGCCTCCTATCCCTCTTCCATTTCCACCAAAATCAATTTCAAGCAAAAAGATGGAAGAGGTGGATAAGGATATCTTGGAGACTTTCAGGAAGGTGGAGGTGAACATACCTTTGCTGGATGCCATCAAGCAAATTCCCAAATATGCTAAATTTCTGAAAGACTTGTGCACCCACAAGAGGAAGCTGAAGGGCAATGAGCGAATCAGCATGGGCAGAAATGTTTCAGCACTCATAGGTAAATCTGTTCCACATATTCCTGAAAAGTGTAAGGACCCAGGTACATTTTGTGTACCTTGCATTATTGGTAACAATAAATTTGAAAATGCCATGCTTGATTTAGGAGCTTCAATTAATGTCATGCCTCTGTCTATTTTTAATTCTCTGTCTCTTGGTACTTTGCAACCTATGGGTATGGTCATTCAGTTGGCCAATAGGAGTGTTGCCCACCCTACAGGTTTTGTAGAGGATGTCTTGGTTCGGGTTGGAGAACTTATTTTTCCTACTGATTTTTATGTTCTTGATATGGAGGATGGATTCTACCAAGGTTTTGTCCCAATCATTCTAGGCAGACCATTTTTGAAAATAGCCCGGACCAAGATTGATGTTTATGCTGGCACCTTGTCTATGGAATTTGGTGATATTGTTGTTCATTTTAATATTTTGGATGCCATGAAATTTCCTTTTGAAGCTCATTCTTTTTTTCGTGCTGAATTGATTGGTGATATAGTTGATGAGCACATTTATGATTTTGATTCTTCTCATGCTAAGAAGCATTCATTTTCACTTGATTTGTATAGCTGTCTTTCATGCATTGAGTCTGAGTCTGAGTCTGAGTCTGGATCTGAATGTGAAACTGATTATGAGGCATCTGAATTTGACACTTTGGGTGTTGTACCTCTTGCTCTTGATTTTATACAGTCAGAATGCACTAACCATTTTGCAGGAAGTACAAAAGAATCTGACTTGCAGGTTGATGTACAGGTTGTGGAACCCCTTCTCCTTTCTTTGGTTCCTTCTAATGTTCAGCCAGCACCTACACCAGAGTTGAAGCCTCTTCCACAAGATCCTCCAATGAAAAAGGGAATGCTTTCAGGTAGATGTGATCTTCAGGGACATTATGTGGCCTCATGGTGGAACAAACTATGTGGAACTCCTTGAGATGCTTGTGTGGATCCTCACCTGCACGACCATGAAACTTAGGCAACAAATGGATCAGTCCAGTTTTAAGCACAAAAGGAATATCTTCCTTAGGATATTGAATGCATAGACTCTCATATGTGAAATCAGGTGCAGCCATCTCCCTAAGTGTTCTCTCTCGAGGTCCAGGTTGGTCACCCATGTTTTGTGGTTGACTTGAATCAAGTTCAGATGTAACACTTACACTAAGACTATCACTAACACTATCACTATGGCTATGACTAAAACTATCTAAAGATGGAATGATATGCTCTCTAATTAATCTATGGAATGTCCTATCAATCTCAGGATCAAATGGATG